ACTTTTTACCTTACCTGCGTTGGTCTAAATTCCTTACTAAGTGAAGCAAAATGACAGAGAAGTGGAAGGAATACATGTAAACTCGCGTGAATATCAAAAAGGAACCACGGGGCTGAAAGAACTGTATCTATAGGCCTGCCCCAAGGGACTAATAACAGGGAGAGTCATGGAAACCAGCTTCCCCGTCAGCATCCTGCTCAGGTGAACACGGCTCGCCAGATGCCTCGAACTGGCACTTATTGGCCGGTTCCTGCGAATTGAGAAAAAAAGCAAAAAGTAACCCAGAGATGTGAGACGCGGAGGAAAAACAGTAATGAACTTGTTAAAGAAGGCCACAGAAACCAAACGTCATACAAAGGAGAGGGTGTGATGAGCAGATCGGAGATCAACAACCCAAAGGACAGGAGAGCCCCACCCACCCACCCCGCCTGCAGTAGCTCTTCCCCTTTCGGTACCTTTGAGACATCGTGAAAGGTGTGCTTGTCACTTGGCTGCAGTGCACACACGCCAGCAACCTGCAAGGGAATTAGAACTTGACCATTCGCAGCCTTCAAGTATTAGATCTTCTCCAGCCTCATCCCCCCGACTCCCCAGGTCCCCTAGCACGCATGCTTTAAGGAAGGCACCTGGTAAACTTCCCCCTGCCTGAAATTCGCCCCTAGTAGCTATCAGCCTCTAGGCGGGGGTGTACTTGATTTGGTCCCCTTTTCATACAATGGAGAAGAACTTGAATTAAAGGAAAAGGGGAGGATGGGAGAAGTCCACAATGGGAGGTGGGGACTTGAAGAAAAGGTTTTTATAAAGGATGAACTGATTTCCACTTCAACCTGTGTTAGCGAGAGACCAAACCAGCCACCTCTAGTGAAAGTTCGCAGGCACCTGGTTTGTCCTGCAGGCGCTGCGGCCTTTTCGCAGTGGCCTCCTGTGCTATTAGCCTTGTGCTGTGGTTTTGCCAACTGATTTCTCCAATTCTCTCTTCTCAGTGGGCTAGAACGCAGCTGATTAAATAGGCCGTGACTCACATAAGCTCCCGTGTCTTTTTTATCGACTGCCTCACGGAAATGTATCGCACTCCAAAGGTCCCCGTTGCTGTTGCTGTGCATAGCTGACTGACAAGTCACGTTTAGCACGGAGAGATGGAATCCCACTCTGTCGTTTTTATTGCTGAGTTGGGGATGGGTGGGATTCAGGGTTTAAAGGAATTCGGATGAGGCAAGAGAGATGTCTGAGAATTTCTTTTATCTTTATCTGCCATGAAAGTTGGGTGGCCATCACTTCTGGGTAACACACTTCTCTGTTGATCTTATCTTTATGGCCCCACATCCTTCGACTAAGTGAATCTTTTCTTTATAGAGACTGTTCTGACAGTTTTAGTTAAGCGCAGTGGTAGAGAGAGATTATGACGCTAACGTAACTCTGTTTTGTGCTGATAGAACATGATACACCCTTAGGTTTATCCAAGCAGGCCATTTATTCCCAATAAACCTAAATCGTTTCTTTTTTTTTTTTTTTTTTTTTTCATTAAGGTGGTGACATCTTTTTTCAGGTAGTGGACAAAAAGCCTTGATTTCTTGTTTAAGTATACTTAAATAGAAGTGGTTTTGCTTTAAAGTCGTAATTGTGTCTCTTCCTATTCTTATTCTCTCCTCACAAAGTGTTTACATACTTTTATTCTGCACTAAGCGGCCCTGCACGTCTGTCCCTTTGCCAGTAGGTGTCAATTCAGGCACACGAGACTCCTCCCCTCTCCGCGCCCGGGACTGCGGCCGGCCGACGCATGCGTCCTCGGGGTCGCCAGTTCTCGGGTAGCAGCACCGCGAACTGGCACCGGAAAGGGAGATGGCGTGATTGCCACAGTGGCTTCCCACCTCGGTCGTCTAGATCCCTCTGATAGGTCGCGGGGCCGCCGAGATTGTGCCCGGAGCCCACTTCACACGGAGAACAATTCTGTGACTGTGCGGTGCCCCGCACGGAGAAGGCAATCGAGAGCAGAGATCGATTTGATTTGATTTCCTGAGGGTTTTCCATAGCCATTCCGAACTGCACCTCGAATCCCATTTTTTTCCACTGCCCACAAGAGAAACCAGGCAGCAGAGTTCATCAGGACAGACTTCCTCTAATAAGAAAGCCACATAGCACATCTTACAAAAACACAGAGTATATAATACCCCATTTTCCAGCTCTGTGACTGTTCAGAATCTTGTTGGTAAATGACCAAGAAAGGAAATTCAGCAACTCGTTCCGTGCCCAATTTTAGAACACCAAGGGTGACGCCGCGGAGAGAAGGTGGAGATGGTGCTGTCTCCAGTCTCCCAGAATTAGCGATTTGAAGTTCAAGCATGTCCACCCCATTATGCCTTTGTTTTCTTGGTGGTGGCATTCTTGGGTTTCGGTTGGTAGGGAGAGAAAAGCCTCATGCTGATAATGTACTGAAAGTAAATGAAATTAAATAAGCGAAGCAGTGCTCATCACTACTTCCTTCCCCCCTGGGTAATTCAATTCAAGCTCTCTCTCTGATGGCAACTCCCAGGGACTGTCTCTGTCACCCCGCTGGGGCCTGGAGTCTTAACATCTAAATAAAAGTTTCACTCAAGCATTTTTTATGCTCCTGCCAGCAGGATCAGCGAGCTGGTGTGGGCACATTAATGTAATATTCATACTCACGGACTCTCCCCGCGCACGAGGCAATGTCTTCCCATTTTCATAATTATAGATGTTCCATAAAATGGCATTTAGATTTGCATTAAAAAAAGGAGGTTTGAATTCTAATAGAACGTTTAACGTGTCTCTTACGGTTCAGACTCTCAGCATCTTTAACAGGTAGCTATGTGCCTAAGTATAACAAGACCTTAAAAATAGAGAAAATGACCAAAAAAAAAAAAAACGTGGAAAGAAGAGATGGAAACTTCAAGCTTAGGGGAGCCTGTTTTTCTTATCTCCCGTGTTTTTCATTTAATTTTTCGGCCTCTGGGAGCAATTTTTTGACAGCGCTGCAGAGGATGGGCTCTGCTCCAGAGGGCCTCCTCAGACTTGCTGGGTCCTCAGCCCACCCGCAGTGGGATTTGTTTCTGTTCTCTCAGAGACCATTTTCAGAGAGAGAGTAGAATTTTCAGAGGGGTAGGAGGATGACAGGATTGCAGACAGACTCTCCTTCGCTGCTGTTACTCTCATGTGTGCTTCCCGAGACCCATCCAGGAGGATTCACAGCAGCCACGGGGTCTGCTAACTGTAACACACAGAAAGGGGATCAGCCCATGAACAAGGAAAGTGACAACAAGAACCAATAGGATAAAGAATCGCCTGATTCTTTATCAGACACAGTGGGGGGAAAAAAGAAAAGAAAAGCTCTTCTAATTCACATATTTAAAACTCAGCTTGGAACAGCTTAGAAGCAAGAGGTCATTTTAGTTGCATTTTACGTTGTCTTAAAATGTTATTTTTCAATAAAAAGTATGTAAAGCACTGAACAAAGTGGCCATCACTGAGTAAAAGTTAGTTATTGTAGGAGATACTCAAAAAATAATTGTGTAATTGAAAAAAAAGTTATTCCATCCAGAAGTCCCAAGATATTGTATAGGTCAGGGATTTTTCAACCGGTGTGCTACAAGAATCTTTAAAACATGCAATACCTGACTGTTTAGTCAGGGGCACTGACCTCTTTTCCCTTAGATTGTCAAATAAAAAAATGACAACGGCCAACACAATAGCCATTGGTGTAAATGGATCAGAGTTATACATAGTTTTTGTTAGATCAGCAAAACAAAAATATTTTTGGTGTGCCTCAGAATTTTAGCAATTAGTTTATGTGTACCGTGAGATGAAAAAGGTTAAAAATTGCTGGCATAGATTGTGCCTTAATTTGGTGTATATTTTGTTTGGTTTCTAAATTTTTTAAGAACAGACTAATCAACAGATAATACTAGCTCACCCCCTTCATTTCTCCTGACTAAGAAATATAAAATTATAGCCCTGGCTGGCATAGCTCAGTGGATTGAGCTTGGGCTGCGAACCAAAATGTCGCAGGTTCGATTCCTAGTCAGGGCACATGCCTGGGTTGCAGGCCATGACCTCCAGCAACCGCACATTGATGTTTCTCTCTCTCTATCTATCTCCCTCTCTAAAAATAAATAAATAAAATCTTTTAAAAAAAGAAAATGCAAAATATATTTTTTAAAAAGAAATATAAAATTATATTTTTAAGAGTTTTTGGATTTTTTGTTGCTTTTCCCTTTACTTTTTGAGGAGTAAATTCCTTCCTCCTTGTCTCTGTCCTTTGCCCCTCCCTTCTGCAAAATAAATATAAACTCCAGTGGTGGGAGATGGACTAGGATCTGGACTCCTCAATAAATTCCTACCTCATGAGGCTCATTGAAAGCCAAGAACGTTAGCAGTGTGCAATTAAAGACTGGTGTCGGTTCCAGTATCTTCTCTTTGTAAAGGCTTCTACCATTCTTGCCCTCTTCCCATACTTTGACAAAACCAGGATTTGGCAGTTATTGCCAAGTTCAGCTTGCAGAGCCCTTCTTTGTGTGAACAGAATAAAATTTATGTTCACGAAGGTGGCTGTTTGTTTTTTAAAAAGTGTATTTGTGTTTACGGCTCCTGAGGTAACTATGGCCGTGGTGAACACTGCCACTCAGTAAAGCTTGTCTATGTTCATTTGACTTCTGATTATTTCAGTGCAGGTTATCCAATTTGGAGCTTATATCCACAGCGAACTCTTGATTTCCTTTCCAATCAATACCTATTTAGGCTACCCACCCCCCTTGTAAAAACTAATGTATATTTAGATCATTTTAAGCAATTTTAGCATTAGATAGAATTAGGAAGAAAGAAGATGTGCTTTTCCCCGCAATCATCTAGAAGTTGTTTTATTTTGTGCTGTGTTTAAGCAATTGCCCTTCTGTACCCCTTCACTAATGTAGATGATCAAAAAGTAGCCTGAATAAATGAGAATTCTGTCAAGTTTCAACAAAGCATTTTGCTGTCGTTCCTTTCAGGAATGGAAGACATCATAAGAGGAGCTCAAGAGCTTGACAACGTCATCAAGCAAGGATACCTGGAGAAGAAAAGTAAAGGTACTGATCAGACCCATCAATGTCAGAACATTCCAGAAAGGAAGGGAAATGAGGAAAAAGAGGGCTAATGTAGCAGGCGCCTGCTCTGTGCCCAGTGCTGGGCCAGGCAGGCGGAAGGCAAAAGGAAGGGAAGAAGAGAAGTCTGGTGTGCGGGCTAAAGAGAGACGGCTCAGAATCTTCAGCAGATTGTGAGCTTCAGCCAGACAGGGTCTGCTCCTCCCCTGCTCACCTGGGACAGGACAAAAGCTTAATACGCGCTTGTTGAATGAATGAATGAATGAACGAGTGATATTCTTATTCTCATCTCTCAGTGTGCTCCCATGAAGAGTGAAAGTATATGGCCAAGAGTATAATTTTTGTATCACATGTGAAGCGGCCACTTTCAAATTCCAGAGGGGCGCAAATCTTAAGCCAGCTCTCATCTGAGTAGCGCAGGCTCCACGAGGGCCGGAGTCCCGGGTTTAACACTCGTCAGACACGTGGGCCTCGTACAAAGGAAGCCTTTCTCGTGCCTGTGGCCTACAGCGTCATTTTGATTTGCTAAAAGGCAACACACAACATCATGACGAATTTGAAAAGTACAAGATGAGATTTGAAGCTGACATAAAAGAAGATAGACAGCCGTGAGGGGTCAGAGCAGGCAGACCCTGTTTAGAACCTGGACCTTTCACTGAGCCAGTCCTCTGGGCCCCCGAGTCAATACGGGATAACCTGTGGGAGTGAACGGGAGGGTTTCACAGCCCATTAACCTGGGAAATAAAACAATAACACACTGGACTGTGCTGTTGGGTTTTACGGACTCTTCGGCGGCTGTGCTTACCTGAATTTATGCCCCTGACTGCTGTTCCGTTTAGATCATAGTTTCTTTGGATCGGAGTGGCAGAAGAGATGGTGTGTTGTCAGCAGAGGCCTCTTCTACTACTATGCTAATGAGAAAAGTAAGTGTTCTTCATTTGCACAGCAGCGCCTCACTCCTGGATACAAACACTTCGTAAATTCTCAAGCACTTAGATCTCATGATAGCAGTCCTTAACTAACACCCACAAAGAGACCTGCTCGGGGAAAGAAGTAGGCCTGGGTAAATGATACCTCGCCTATCACCCAACACTCAGATGCCAATTTAGAAGTTATCTCCCCTGGGCAGAGGGGAGCAAAGGGGAGGGAAAAAATGGGACAACTGTAATAGCATAATCAATAAAATATACTTTAAATAAATAAATAAAAATAGGATTTATCTCCCCTTAAACACTAGGATATTGTGGTCAGCATATCTAAGGCTTATCTTTTATTATGATTAATAACAGCATTATCAAGGTTGAACACTTTGGCATTCTTTTTTCCAAAAGAACCTTGAACTCTTAATAATATAGTTAAAAATGGAAACTAAATGAACTCTGAGAAAGATTTAAAGAGCTTACCAATGGCCCAGAAAAAGAACTCTCAAGTCCGGACTCTCTAAGAGCACGCTCCAAGCTTTATCCGGCTGACACCTGGGACGCAGTCCAGTGTTCATCCCTAGAGCCGAGGAGTGTGGAGGCCCAAAGAGTCGCTGTGCTCAGGGGACAGCCATCAGCCAGCTGGCAGCCCCAGCAAAGTGTCGACTCAGGCCAGAAGCAGTTTCTTAATCAGCCACCACTGACTCAGTCAAACATGACCCTCACGAGTTACCACTAGAAGATGCCCCACCCATGCTTCACACAGTTGCCTAACTCATGAGAAGGAATAGAAGATATAAGCCCAAGTTGAAGCACAAGGTACAAATGATCACTGCAGGTCAGGGGTGTCGAACTCATGTTCACCGGGGGCCACATCAGCCTCGCGGTTGCCTTCAAAGGGCCGAATGTAATTTGAGGACTGTATACATGTAACTACTTCTTAATTAGGGGCAAGGAGCTCAGCACCACTGCCAGATAGAAACAAGGTGCTGGCCAGATAGAACAAGGTGGAGGGTTGGATTCAGCCCAGGGGCCTTGCGTTTTCCACCTGTGCTGTAGGTGAATGCAAACTTTCAAATAGGATATCCTCTTACAGAGTCAGACTGCCTCAAACAAAGCGGGGATAAAGCAAAGTAAAACATCAATTCTTGTTGGGGCGGGGGTGGATTTCCTTGTGTTCCACTGTCTTGGTACAGAGGCCAGTAAATTCCTTCTTTCCCTCCGATCATTTTCTGTTTCTCCTGTCTCCCTTCTTTCCCAGATTTTTTCCACCCCCAATGCCTGGATATCCAGTCTAAGAGATTTGCACTTTATGCATCTTTGACACTAAGGTAGCAGAAAAGACTGCTACCTTAAAGGACTTGGAATCCCTAAGATTTGCCTGTGGGCTTTGAGACAGTTGCCCCACCCTGCCTGTCTGCCTATAGCAAGCATCACTGACCTTCACCTTGGGTTCGCCATCTTGGATTCCTCAGTCTTCCCCACCTAGGGGTAAAGGGTGGAGCCCTACCTGGAAATGTAGCAGCTTAGCTCCAAAACTGAGTAACGATTTCCCTACCCAACCTCAGCCCTCTTCCAAACCCGGTAACCACAATTTCTCCCCTGAATTCCAGGCATACCAGCCAGCCAGCTGTGATTTTCTTATTTTAAACCTTCGAACTAATATAACATTTATGTCTTCGTAAAAATGGTCATCATTTCCCTTGCATTTGAGTAGGTGGTTGGCATATCTGGACAGAAAATAATGTGTCGTGTCCGTTTATTCAGAATCCTTTGCACTCAAGGTGAGAGAGAACAGGAGCAGGAGACTAGGAGGCTTTTATTGACCATTTTGCTGTCAGGGTAAAATAAAATCTGGTGACCAAAGAAACAACAAAACATTTCAGTGGCCACTTAGAACAAGGCGAGATACTTTAACAAAAAAGATTCCGGTGTCAAAAAGCACCGTTGCATGGCTCCCTCCTCGCCAGTTACTTCTTATTGTGCCCCAGACGTTTTCTTAGTGAGTACAGAATGTTTGTGTATTTCTTTTAGCTCAACCAGGTAAGGACAGAATCTTTTTTTCTTCTCTTTTAACTTTTGTCAGACCACTGCCATCCTCACCATCATCATTAGCAAAATTCACTTAGTAAGCAATTCATTCTGCGATCCAGGACGCAAAGCATCGGCCAAACGCCGTGGTGCCTGCCCTCTACACGTTCTGCCCCAACCACACCATGAGGACCCAGAATCCTTGGCAACCACCTCTTCTTTGCCTACTTCTCATATTGTTTTTAAAGGAGTGCCAGGAGGAGTACTATCTCCTTTCTCTCACTTAGGGTCCTTTGCCTTTTATCTCCTTCCTCATCAGCTAGTGATGCTCAACCGTGCTCTGCTACTTCCCAATCTGACCTCTTGGAAAGAGGGTAAAGTACTGAGTTTTAGTTATTCTCCCTCCAGCATTCGTTGCTACTGACCAGCAGGCAGGAGGGGGAGAATGGTCTAGCCCCAGTGCTGCCGAGGGCATAGCAGGTGGTCCTGGGAACTCCTAACGCCCCTGTGCTGCTGCCCTCCCCTCCAATGCGAGCTCTGCTGGACCCGATAATCATGTTTCATTTCTGTAACAGCCTTCAAGGGCCTCACGTTTACAGCCACGCTCTCCCTGCTGTAATAACTCCTTCTTTCTGTTATTATAGATATCTTAACATTCTAATAAATTCTCTGTCTCCGTTGTACTCTTTTGGCAAAATAACCTTCCATGTAGCATTTCCCTAGCTTGGCAGTGATATCTGCCTTGCTGTCGCGGTAGCCTCTTCTTAAGCTTCCCTAATAACCCTTCCTTGACTGTTGTGGGTCCTCAGGGACGTGACAGCTGTTCCCGTGCTTTTATTTTACACACCAGAGAAGACGTCTTCCCTTGGCAGTTGTGTCTCTCAGGGGATGCAGGGAGCTTTCCTGTCTTGCAGGCAAGCAGCCCAAAGGGACCTTTCCCATTAAGGGCTACAGCATCCGGATGGCCCCCTACCTGCGGAAAGATTCCAAGAAAGAATCCTGCTTTGAACTGACCTCCCAGGATAGACGCAGCTATGAGGTAGGATGACCCGAGGAGATGGCGGTCCTCACTGGCACTGCCGTGTCCCTCCGCGTTGCATGCGAGTGTGGCTGCTGTGCCGGGTTCCATCCTTTCTCTGACACCTGCTCATCTTCCACCAAGATCTTATTTCTCGACATGTCCTCCCCTTCACTGTGTTGTGCCCTCCCTTCTCCTGCCCGTTGCCAGTCGCATCCTAGCTGCTGCCTCTGCTGGGCTTCCGTCTCCTCATCCCTCCCGCTCCTGGTCTCACTCACTCCAGAGCCGAGAGGCCGGTCCAGTGCAGCCCGCAATCCAATTCCTCATTCACAGCCTCTCCTTTCACAGCTTTAATTCCCTTTCTATTTTTCAACGGACTATCTTCACTTCTTTCCCTGAAATCCAGAACAAGAAAAATCTGACTGTCGAGTGAAAACTAATTTATTTTCCCATATTCATTTTGCTATCCAAAATAATCTTCCCGTGTGTGGATGCACCACATATCTCTGGAAGGATTTCTAAGATAGTGGTGACACTGATGACTGAATAGTAGTAGCAATAACGGAGGGAACGGACCTGGGGGGTGGAGTGAGGAAGAGTTATTCCTCCCTGTATTCATTTGTAATAATTTTGATATAATATAAAATACAACACGCAATGTATTTATTACCTATTACAAAATCAAAGCAATAAAAAAAATCCAGCTATGAGAATATAGTGATTTTCACCAAAAATATATTTGTGTGTGTGTGTATACATATTATTTCCTGCTCATTGGTAATTTGTATCTCATCAAAATTTTACTGAGACAATTTAGAAAACCTTTAGCTAGCTGGTGAAAAAGGGAAAAACTATGCTAAGGTTACTATTAACCACTTATGTAACCCTTCGACTCCGAGGTTTTCTCCACGTTCATCCTTGTATGTTTCCACAATATTTTAACCCTTATTTTGTTAAATGTCCTAGGTCTTCATTATATAATGTTAATTTTTTAATTTAAATTATTCTATAGATGTATGCACTGGGTATGTATCTAAGTTATTTTTAGTATTCCATTCTGATGGTGCATCATCCAGGCAAAAATGTATGTGACAAGTCTAAATCCATGTCCCTAGACATTTTTTATAGAAATGTGTTTTTAAGAAATCGAGAATGACAATGTCTATTAATAAGTATTAAGTAGGAATATAGGTTTCTAATACAGCACACACCTTTGTCTTACCCTAATGGCCAGGTAATAAAAATGGTTTTCAGGAGCAGTCATTTCTCGTTGATTCGTTTAAAATTAAAAAATCACTAAGAGCTGATGCCTGACTGGCCTGCTTTGTGCATCAGAATGTAGAGTTTGTTTACTTCCTCTTCTCTTTGGCCCGTTGAATCCAGGCCATTATCATGGTCCGTGGACTCTTCCCCTGCAATCCCCTTTGGATCTTTCCCTTCTTATTATCTCCACAGCCATCACGACAGCTAGGTCCTCATCGCTTCACCCAGAGGATTAGTTAAATAGCCTTCTGGTTGGTCTTCAGTCTCCAGTTCCTCCCTATTCCAGCCTCTCCTGCCCAGAACTACTGAGCCCCCCGCTCCTTTTGCTACGATAGACAGTGGCTTCCTATTGCCTGCACCGTGAGCCCGCACTCCCGGTTTCATCGCTTCTCCTCTGACCCTCAACCCTCCAGCTTCATCGGTAGTTGTTCTCCAATCAAGCTGATCTGCCTCCCTTCCCCGTACATGACGGTCTCATTCCTAATACTTTGCACATGGTTCTCGCTCCCTAAACTGTCCAGTTTCCTCCACCAGCTCCCAATAACTCTTTTTAAAATCCAACCAGAACAGCCCTAGCCAGGTAGTTCGGCTGCCTGGAGCATCATCCCGATACTCTAAGGTTGTGGGTTCGATCCCCAGCCCGGGCACATACAAGATGCTTCTTGAATGAATCAATGAATGCATAAATAAGTGGAACAATGGGTCTCTCTCTCTCTCTCTCTCTCTCTCTCTCTCTCTCTCCCCCCCCCCACCCCCACCCACCCATCTCAAAATCAATACATGCATAAAAAATGCAGCCAGAGCAGTATTACTTCCGCAAGCTTCCCTGCTTACTCCAGGTGGCAAGTGCTCCTGATCCTCTCTCAGCATTCAGCTGTCATCAAATGCACCTGCTTTGCAGTGTTCCCACTTCCAGTGTGTGTGTTGTCTCCATAACAGATGCATTATTCCTTGAGGTTAGGGGTTGTGGTTGCTTTCTTTTCTTAGCCTCTTATGAAAGACATGTCTGACGATGAATGAATGGATAATCAAATGAATGCACACGGACATGAATTCTGAACTCAAATAGCTGCCAACGTTGGGTATACAAAATTGCCAAAGGGAGAGATCACTTTGAATATTTTGGCCTTTTTTCAAAATGTTAAGCAGGAAGAGAATCCTGAGCTTTCAACGTGACTCTGAAACTTAACTCACAAGTTGCCTCCCTTGAACCTCCCAGTAGGATTCATGGAAATGTTAGTGAAGATGAAAAATTAATTCATTAATTTTTCTCTAGTTTACAGCTATTAATCCCGCTGAAGCCAGAGACTGGGTGGATCAAATAAGTTTCTTATTAAAGGGTAAGTGTCATTATTAAAGAAACAATACTTGAGTGGATTTGCTGTTGAAGTTACATGGCATAAATATAATCCACATGTCTGAATGTGTGTTTTTCTCCTGCCCCCTTCTCCCCTCCCTACCACACTCCTTATGTTATAACAACAAATAGTGCCACGTGTAAATCGGAAGGTAAAGAAACCGTCAACCTGGAGATGACCACTGATGTCATTCCAGTGCGTCCACCTACCTACGGGCAAGTCTGGAATATTCATAATCACTAGAAAAGGAGATTCTGAAAACCAGCTCAGGTCAAGTTACTGTCTACTAAGCCCTTATATTCCGGAAAGGAAATTTGTGATATCAAACTTAAGTCCTCCAGTTGCCGTTTTGGTCTTAGAAATCTAAACTCATCCAGGTGGCCTTCAACAACATTGGCCATTAAAAACAAACTGCTGTCCCCAACCCACAACAAAACGTTCCTTGCCTTAGGATGGGGAGAGTCCTGCCTGGAGATGTTGAATGACTGCTCTTAGAGTACCCTCTGCTGGCCAGCCTGCAGGCACAGCAGTGGCCGTGGCCCAGGAAGCCTTGTCTGGGTGTGGCCTGGCAGGTGGAAGTAGCCAACCTTGTGTCTGTCGCTTGGCATCCGATGACCCTCGCGACAGTACAGATCATGGCGGGACCCTGCCTCTGCAGAAAGACAGAACTTCCAACTCCGTGCATGGCCCACGATGGGGGGGGAGGTGGGGGGAGCACATCCACCTCAAACCACCAAGCCTTTGCCTCTCTGTTTTTCATTCTGCTCCAAGATTTTACTGTGGATAAAAAGGAAGGAGCACCCGAGCTTTAATTACAAGAATTGCCTATTTTACTCAGTTTATGCCTTTGCTCTCACAAAAACAAACTATCGCTTCCACCAAGAGCGCCACGTATAATAGAGTGGAACTAGGCAAACATGAACATTGACGGCGGGACTACAGGGTACACTCTCATCTAGGTGCCTCAGATTTATGCGTGTAATATACCCCTAAGTGTGTAAACCTCAATAAAACTCAAAGCAGCTTTATTGAGCTGTACCCTGTGGTACTTTCAGAATTCCGCATTGAAGAAATTATTCATTCCATTTTATTTTAAAACCCGCAGAATAATAACATATGGTTTAAGCCACAAATGTGTCTTTGATCCTTTCCTCATATGAGGTGGCACCAGAATTCAGATGAAAATTGTTGCGAAATCTTTATTAAAAGCCTAATCAAGCCCAACGGTTAGATTGTGTTCCGCAATGAACGCCGGATGTCTCTGCGTCCCGGCCTTCCCCAGGGCACCCTGACTGCGCCCGCCCGTCCCGCACGGGGCCCTCGGTGGGGGTTCCAGGAGCGCTCCGTACTGCACATCGGAGAGCGAGCCTTCCCAGCTCCCCACTAAAATAAAAAACCAATCTCCCTCCCCTGCCCTGGGCTCCCCGGCGCTGCAATGTCGCCACATCCTCTAGGCGGTGACCCACTTTAAGGTCAGCCAGACCGTACAGTTGAAAAAGGACATGGTAACCACCTCGCTAAGCCATTCCACTCGGTCTCGTATTGCTGTTATATTTTTCCCATCCCTCGCGCTATCTCTTCCTCTTCCACGATTGCCCCTTTTTCTGTTTACAAGACAACTTGTCTGAAATTCGGCCGTGAGATCACGGGAGAGATGAGCTTCCGACAGCTCAGACCCCCTGCAGAAGCCACCGCCGTCCCCACAGCTCCGTGCGCCCCAGGGAGGCACCGGCCATCACTCACCCCTCCAGTTTTCTACTTGGCGAGTGGTGCGTGGCACGCTGGCCTTTCCTCCTCTGGCCTCTTTTCTTCCCTTCACCTCGTGCGCTCATTCGCACACCCATACTTTTCAGAACTGCTTCATCCTGATCAAGTTTTATTGCAAGGAAGGATTTATGTTGATGGTTTAAACCTGATGCAGTGCCGGCCTGGCCTTTTCTGTAGATTTCCTGCCACCGAGGCCCACATTAGAAATAATAGCACTTAACCCAGTGTTTCATTTCTTCCTGACATGTTTTATTCTCATCCCCCCCCTCCTCCTTCTCCCTCTTTTCTTCCCGGCCTTATTCCCTTCCTGTCCTCCCTATCTTGATTCATTCTCATCTCGACCTTGGCAGATCTGAGTTCCTTAACCATTCCATATGAAGAGGAAGAAGAGGAGGAAGAAGAGGAGGAGATGTACGACGATATCGATGATCTTGACTCCCAACATTCTGGTTCCCAGCGCAGACCCATTACCTTGCCCGGGAGCATGGGGCTAAAGCAGGCCTCAGAGGAGAAAGAAGAAGAAGATATTTATGAAGTCTTACCAGGTGAGAAACTTCATCTTCTGATTACCTTTCTCCTGTTTTAGAAACTCTTAACCTGCTAGAAGAATATAACTCTGAAAATATAACTCAGAGGAAGCCAGCTCTCTCGAGGAGAGCATGTAGGGAAGGAAACTTCAACGGAACCTCTGTGATCAGAAGTTCTCCCTTGCCCTGGGAGGAAAGTGAACTACTCAGGAAGGGTCTTTCGTCCGCACGTCTGTGCGAGTGTGAAGGAATGTAGTAACTATGTCAACAAGGTGAAAGAGTTAAGAATGCTTAAGTTGGTTTTCATTGATTTCCTGTGAGTTTGGGTGTGAATCCTCAAAACTCCAGTTTCAACTTCTTTTCTGGGTCATTGTGAGAATAACAGAAAGTTGCCCCCAAAATTATGGCTATTATATTAAAAGTCTGAAGGAACAAATGCTGACAAACCTTTTCTGTAACCCAGGGAAACCCTGGTGGAGCACAGCTCATTATTCCCTAGTTCAGGTAGACCGTGCATCACACTGCGTCTCTTACGAACCCCCCTCACGTGTTTCCTTCGCCCACCATCACAGCAGGTCTACTGCACGTATTTCTTCTGTTCCAACGGCATGATAACCGGCATCTCAAAAAAACGTACAGTCATCACTGCTTCCACGGAGCCACCTCTTGCGGGGAGAGCAGCAGCTGTTGAGCAGCGCAGCGCACAGTGGGGGTCAGACTGTAGAAAACCGAAGCCTGCGCCTTTTAATTGTGAGGTAGTTAGACCGCGGGAACGCTGAATCTTCAAGTCCATTCAGAAAGATGGCTCCTGTGGAAATTTGCCAGGAGTTCAGTGCTCTGCTGAGAAATTCAAGTTAAGCCTAAATTTATAGCAATTTAAACTTCCATCCCAGATAAACTTGGGAGCTAAGGTGAATCTAACACTGCAGCTCCTGAACACAGGGCTGGTTGCTAAGCAGCGCCCTGAGTAAACAACGTGTATTTCAGGGCTTCCTAAGAAGAGGGCCCCACCCCACCAACCCTGCATGTGTCTCTTCCCTGGGGCTGAAGAGACACAGCATTGCTTCCAGAGTCAAGGGTCAGGGCTGTGGCCACACATTTTCTCCTTGCTGGGACCTCAGCCACCCACCCATTGCCCACCGCCCACCACCCACCGCCCACCACCCACCACGCACCACCCACCAAGCAGAGCCTGCTTCTTCTCCTAGCACTTCCAGCCTCTGCCAGTCCCAACTTCCCCAGCCTTTCTGTTGTGTTTTATTATGCAAATGATATCTTGGTTGAGGTCGAGCCATTTCTTGTGTTTGAAGTTAAAAAAAAAATGATAATTTCCTCAGCAAGTCATCGTCGTTAATGAAGTTTTACAAAAACAGATACAACCAAAGGAAAATAAAATTTCACAGGTGATAAATTTTTCCAATTTCCCTGGCAGAATTCGATAGGATTGTTAAATTAAGAGTGAAGGTGTCTGTTAGAAAGCAACGAGCAGTGATGGGTAATTTTATAGAGTGGAAAATTGAATCAAATTGCTACATTAAAACACAGCTCCTCTGAGAATCTTCCCTTTCACAGTCTGCTCCATTGCAACAGCAGGGTGCAGAAACGGATCTAATTCACAACGCTCCCTAAAAGGAGATGCGCGCCCCAGCTTGGCCAGCACCTTCCCGGTGAGCTCGCACTCTCGCTCACTCCTGCTCAGGCTTGGGGAAATATCCGGGTGACCCTCGGCTTTGGGTTACAGCGGGGGAAGAGTGCGCTGGGAAAACCTCCCTGAGTCGCTCAGCCTCCCCGCCCCGGAGCCAACACGGACCTTTTCCTGCAGCGTGTCTAGTTCCCAAGGGACCCAGCGGGGAGGGACCGGATGCTCAGAGAAGTGGAGCAAAGGAGAGGAAAGGGACAGAAGCGTTAAAAAATAAGAGGAGTTTTGCCCTGGCTGGTGTGGCAGAGTGGCTGGAGCACCAGCCTGCAAACTGGAAAGATCACCTGGTCCCAGTCAGGGCACGTGCCTGGGTTGCGTCCAGGTCCCCAGTTGGGAGCCTGTGAGAGGCAACCCATCACACACCAGTGTTTCTCTCCCTCTCTTTCTCTTCCCTTCCCCTCTCTCAAATAAATAAATAGATAGATAATCTTTTAAAAATAAGATGAGTTTTGGATCGTCACCTTAACTCAGGTGGATCACTTAGTGTATGATTGACTTCTTAAGTGTCATCCTTCCCCTGCCCTTGACACTCTTACCCTTGGCCATTGTGGCACTGTCCAGACCCCCAGGGCCTTCCCCCCAGAGTCGCTGGAGTGGCCTCCAAGGGCATGGAGACTGGTGTGCTTCCTCAAGGAAAGCCACTGAGCCTGTGCTCACAGCTGTCCCTCAGGAGTGAGGAAGGCCCCACTGTGAGAGAGCCGGGGTCTCTTTCTCCAGGCAGCTAACTTGCTTATAAGCTTCCAAAGGACAGTGCTGTACCCAGCTAACGGGTTTTCCCCCAAAAGCCTCCTTCTATCCATCACAGGTTTTAGCGTTAGCACTGGAGGTGAGAACATATTGGCATCTCATGGTGGTAGGAGTATTTCAGCCACAAGTCCCCATCGCCCAGCTTCCCGCCCACTCCGCTCAGACTGTCGCTTCTGAGATTGCTGTCAGTTCGGCATGTGCCACACCACCAGTCCTGGGGGGCCTGGGAGGGAATGCGAGGCGCTGGACGCTGTCTCCCCTCTGCCCCCATCTCGCAAGACCACCTGCCGAGCAGCGGCCCGCCAGAGACAGTGTGGTATCACAGGTACCACAGGTACGAGTCCTGGCCCCGAGTCAGGATGGACCTGCTCTGCCATCTGCTAGCTGTGAAGCTTTGCGCAAGTCGTCTGCCCTGTCTCCGCGTGACTTTCCCATCCGTGAACCGGGGGTAACAGTAGTAGCTGTGAGAGAGGGGTGCTGTGGGAAATCTAGAACCGACGCGTGTAAAGCTCTGAGAGCGCAGCCCCAGCATGCAGGGAGCACTCCACAAACGCGGGCTGTCGCTAGTGCAGCGGCGCTTGAACAGGAAGTGTCACTCCCTTGAAGAGTCGGGTGATGGCTGGTTTCCCGCCTCCACCAGCCAGGCCTGAGACAATCCAGCTGGAAATTCAGCTGGACGTTTCCAAGCTCTAAGGATGAAGCAGGTGAAATTGAACATTCTGAGCAGATGGAATGCGGAGCACACCTTCTGCTCAGGCCCATTTTTACGGGGAGGACAGGTGCCAGGTAGAGGGACAGCGACAGCGACGTTGGGTTGTGCTACCATTGCGCGCCCACCAAGAGTCGAGCGACTTGGGCCCCTAACATTTGTGTCATTATCATAGGTCACTGCGCGTTGTAGAGACGCTTTAGCGTTGATGGTTCTGCCTCCCTCCTCTTGGCCATGGGGCTCATACACACCTCGTGGTCTCTGTGCCACGATGTCACCTCGTGGGTGACATCTCCCTCAGTGGGCCTCCCAGCAGAAAGAGAAGTGCCTGTAACACAGAACAAGTCAATGCAAAAATACTTTTTCCTAATCAAAATAATGTACGGGTCATCAAATTAAATGCACTACATCGCATTCATCACAGGATAATTAGCATTTGCTACGTGGCGAGCGTCCTCCTTCCCATGAGAGAAAAGCAGAACACTCGAGGTTTGCAGCCAAGACCACAGAAATGTTCATCCTGGATCATGTGGTTTCAAGGTTGGCATCCAGAGGGATTTCTGAACATCCTCGCTGAGCATATGGGGGCCCTTGATTTTTAAGATCTCATTTGCAATAGATTAAACTGCAGGGAACTACCACGCAGAAATGCTAAAGCAATATGTGGAAAATGGCAGGCTTTTCCTCAGCCCTCTCTCGCCCCTCCCAAAAAATCATTTTACAGGCTAGCACAGGCCCAGTTTCACGATTCGAGATTCCATAAAAGGACAACTTTTATCAGGTTTCTCTCTGTGGCCTCGAGGCCGGAATCCAGCAAGGCGCCTGAGGCCGTTGAAGAGCTGTAACCAGGGCCCTGCCGCGGCTGCAGTGGCAATAGAATCCGGCTCTGTCCCCTAGAGAGACTTCGGGAGAGCAAACAGAAAGAGAGACAAAGAGCCCTTCCTGGGAATTTCTGTGCACATTCCAACGCTGCCCGCACTGCCACCGAGGGTTATTAGAGACCCAGAAACCAGATTGCTTTAGAATAAAGCATATAACTGGATTTGTTTGTTTGTTTGTTTTTAATTTGACTCTAATGGGAACAAGCATTCTGTGGAATTATTTTCCCGTGTAGAATTGTCCAGACTCACAGGGAGAGGAAACAGCGATCATAGGAGGTCTAAGGGAAGAAAAAGCAGACACCCAAAATACAAAGATTATGAAGAAAGCAAATTTCAATTTCATAGAAAAGCAGCACTGCGTAGGGGGCAGGGGGGACATCAAAGAGGAGTCGGGGCCACCATCAAGCTCCCTCTGAGCGCCCTGGCCTTTTCCCGGTCACTCCCAAGCACGCTGGGTCCTAGCCACACCGTGTTTGGTCAGCACCAAAGCCAGATTCATGCTGTTTTGTTCTGGCTGGAACACCCCCCCGCTGATCTCAGCTGATGAAATCCTACACATTGTGCTCAAATGTGTCTCCTCAGTGACTCAACTGGAATTGAGTTCTGTTTTAGCCTTTACCGCGGGGATTTGTATTCAGGTCTTTCTCCCTCCAATTAGTAGGCACTCAACTATTATTTGTGAAATTAAGTTCAGTGCATTCCAAGTATTGCAGTTAGCAGCAATTGAGTTTAATATCTTGTACATCAAGACCATACCACAGAGATAGAATGCAAATATTTTAAGGTAGCGGTTGAGATTACCAACTACACACCAGAGAATTAAATGCGTTATTAGCATCTTGCTCATATTTTCCGTGTTGTCTAAAGACGTGCTACGGCACCCGCAGATTTATAAGGTAGATGTGCATGCTGTGGAGTGGTTTCCAGTTCTGCTTTTCTGCACGTTCCCTCTGCACTTCGAGTCTGTATTTCTGCTGCATCTGTCACCAGAGCACCTTGACATCTGCTTGCACATTGATACAGTTGGCATTTTTTAAGCTTCTGTCACTTTGCTTTGCACGGGGCAAGTGATCTCCCTCTTTCTGATCTAGTCATTTTTTCATGTTATTCTCCCTGCATTGGCTCGGCCCATGTCAGAGCAGCACTTCAGAAAGGAGCCAGGTGTCATGGGAAGCTGGCTCCTCTCTGCGCCCCCGAAGTGGAGTCAGTGTCCTGTTCCTTTCAGCCTCTCATTAGCGTCCTTGACACTGTGCCAAGAGTGTTGATTGAAATCAACTCTCCGGATGCTAGTGCTCATTTGTGATGCCTCATGCTTCTCTTACATGTTCGCACAGTTAACAGAATCTTCCTCAACTGTTTTCCCAGTTGAGTCAAGATATTTGGGAATCAAGCAGAGCATTTAATGTAATAAGTGGACAATAATCTTTGGAGGTTAATTTGTTTAAAACCTGTGTAAGGTTGGGGTCCCATATGCCCTGTTAGGAGCAAGGACCATTATAATCTATTACTGTTTAAAGTTGAGCTAGCACATAAATTTTAATTCTCTCTTAAATGAAGATGTATTTCAGTAGATGTAATGCTAAGATGCCTAATAATATTCTTCTAAAGAAGTACAATAAGCTTTTAGACTAAAAAAAAAATATCTTTCAAAATAATCTCTTTAAAACCAAAGCCTCACGCTACAGATGAATAAAATTCAAAATCTGGCTGATTAACACGCCCTCTTCTGTGAGCAATGAGACTTTTTTTTTCTGTTGCCATATAATCGGTTTTCTTGGCTTTCGAGTTTGAAACGTACCAGTGTGGTTTCATTGAAGGATGCAGGATGAACTGTATGCCTCTGTTTACATGGTGCCATCCAACGCTGGGAACATGCTGAGAGCTGTGCCATTCACCCCCCGCTGTGGAGGGCACTTCCCTTCGCTCTGGGGTGGGGCCCCCATCCTCACTCTTCCAAGCACAGCAGAGGCACAGCACCCAGCCTCTCACATCAACAGCGGGCTTCTTGACTGGAGCCCACTTCCGGCCACCTGGGAAGGACAACGTTAGACAGAACAGACCTGGGGGTGGGAGCTTCCCCATTCACATCCACCGCCGTAGAGCATAGCAGTGGTGGTGAATGATGTATAAGATCTGTGGCCAGCATTTCACTTTCTTTCTAGGTGTCTCCACAGGCGCAATGGAAATCAGAGTGTTCTGTCCGGACTTAAACCCCACAAACAAATGTTTATTTTTTCCACTTTTGTGTCATGACTGGTTTAAGCGCTGTTGCCTGAAAGGATAAAGGAACCAAGTTTTAGTTTTCATTTTTATCATTGCAAATACATTTACGTTCTCCTATTTTACAAATGCAAAGAGCAGGCAAGCCACTTTCAATAATTTATTTTAAAATCAATGCTAATGAGGTTATGTCTCGTCAGTGGCCGAGTTTTACAATAAAGTCTGATTTATTTAGAAAAGATCTTCGGTGCAGCTTCCCATCTAATGGCGGTGGGAAGGAGGTGGAGCAGCAGGCACGGTGACCCTCCAACTTCGGATCCAATTTGTAATTCACAGCGGAGATCTGACCCAATTTACATTGATTAGAATTGGGAGGAAGAGACATCCGCGCACAGACGGCAGAGGTTCTCTGCGAAAGTGCCGGAGCACAGCAGATTGCTGGGCTTCGGGACTGAGCTGCTCCGTATCAGCAAAGGAGCCGCGCTCCGTCCAAATCACTGGGCATCTCTAAAACAGAGGACGTACCAACTCTTAAGAGCCATTTTCAACCCTCTGAAATGAGTCCCACATCAAAAAGGAAAAGCATCATCAGGAAGGAAAGAAGGAAGGAAGGAAGGAAGGAAGGCAGGCAATGTGCCAAGACTGATGTCTAACATGAATTCTTTTATCATGATCCGTTTTGACCTTTGACCTTACTCCTCCAACATGTCGCACCCTCAGTCCTGACGGAGGGGCACAGAGAGCACTGCAAGTGGCAAGGGGGAAGTGCTCTGCCGCTCGGTCCCACACAGAGATAAGGAGCATTGAGTCGAAGTGTCCTGTACGGTAAACATATATACATGTACCTGTTGCCTTGATAACAGGTGACTTACTCCTCCAGAATATTAACCCATTGGTTTTTATTTTTGCAGGGGAATTGTATCGTTTTGTATACAAAGTCAATGATCTCATTAATAGTCTAAACTCTGTTAAACTCTGTTATGTTGTCTCTTCTTATTTATGAGCTTAGAGTTTATTTCCCCTAGTCTGACATATCAGAACTTATATTGCCCCATAAACCTTATATTTTCAAATAAGTGGGGGGACTATCCCCCTAAGCCATCTCCTCAAGAAGTTCCACTCAGTGGCATAACTATGGGGAAGCAAGAGGGGCAAGTGCCCTAAGACCCCAAAAGAGAAAGGAAAGGCAATGTAGCCAGAAGAAACGAAGTATTCAGAGCTCAGGATGATACTAATTATGCCCCATTCACTCTGCGTGAGTGTGCAAGGACGTGTGCTTCCTTCACAAAGGCCCGGCGTTATCAGATAGTGTGACGCCTGAGCTGGAACAGGTTAATGAGGGTAAGAAACACAAGCCAATCATGTTGTGACTTTGACCGCGGAAACCCTTGACTGGAGTTAGACAATAGCGCTGACTTAGAACCCATTGTGCACCTGTAGCAATTAATTACAAGGCCATTCCAACTGCCTTCAGGAGCTTACACTCTAATGAACAAGGCAGGCTGAACAACGCCAGTAAAAAGAGAACTACAAGCCCCGAGTACTAGGAACATAAAATCATGTACATGGCCAGCTTCCGTTACAGCTGAACAAAGCTCGATACATTAAGGACTAATTAATCACGGAGGGTTTAAACACTTGCTCAACTCCACACATACACACACACACGCCCTCTAAGTGTGGACATTTACATGGAGTCGATACATTTGGAAGAGAATTCCAGAAGAGGAGAGGAAACCGGGTTTGAGGGAAAGGCCTAGGATTTAGGGATAGGCTCCCGAATAATCCAGCGGATCAGAAACTCCGCGAGGGCAGGGCTGTGCCGGGCTTGTCCGGTTCCGCATGCAGTACCTTGCACAGAGTAAGCCCTTTAACATGTTGGTGAGTGAAGGTACAGGGAAGGGAGAAGGAGACAGCCAGTCTGAAGGTGAACGATGGTTTTTTAAAGGAACACGGTAACTATTTCCTTAAAGCAGAGAGCGTGCGGAGGTGAGAGATACAAACAACGTGAGACCGTTGCCCGTGAACTGCTGGTGCTGATGCTGTGTCTCCCCCACAGATGACGAGCTCGACCTGGAGGAGGAGGAGGGTGGCGCCGGACCCAAAGGAGGTACGAGCGCGGCGTGCTGGGTGGGACGCGGGCCCCCCCCACCCCCCGGCTTCCTCATCATACAGGGCTCGCTAATTAGGAAGATACTGGTCTGCAGGCCTCAAAAGCCCCAACTAAGATGACTGCATAGGGAAGTATCTTAACTTTCAAAGCGGCCACCTATTCACTTTAATGAATGTTCCCAGAACGTCTGAGATTGATCCTAGAGAGGGTGGAAGCCAAACCAGATATTTATTTTTTTTCCTATCAGTATTTCTGAAATCAGCACAAGGGGAATAGAATTGCCTCATCTCTAAGAGATCGGAGGATTGAGCATGGGAAGAATGGAAACGCCTCCTCTCTGAGAGGCCCGAGATGGGGGGTTCAGAGGGGAATGGAGATGTGTCAGATCTGCAAAGTGCGCGAGGGGTAAAGGATGGAGCTGCGTGGCGGCGCTGGCTCCTGATGGCCCGGTCTGATTCCAGGCACACTCGGCGATGAATATGTAACAGGTCTGCTGAATACAGAATCGCATCTTACTCATCCCAGACCGTTACCCATGCTTCAGGCGGTTAGTGAGCCCATCCTTTCTGAGGTCAGGTGCCCCTCTAAAGCCTCTTTAAGTGGACCACGGGCCTGTTCTGTCGTCGTCAGGAAAGGAAGGTGTTGCAAGGGCCACCTGCAGGACATTCATTCCACCAGCAAAGCCTTCCTCGTGGTTGATTCAGACCCTGGCTGGTTTTTCCTTAGAGATTCTATTAAAGTCTTAAGCCTCGGAGTTCTTTTCCCCTTCCCCTCCCTGCTCCCTCTCCATTTCTCTGTTCCCATTTCTTCCCTTTCCTTCTCCCGTCCTTCCCTTGTGCCTTTTCTTCTCTCCTTTATCCACTCAGCGAAATCCCTTTCCTTCATTCATTCTCTACGGGGAGCGAATATGTAACAGGTCTAGCGAAGGACCCAACTTCATAAAAGCCCAGCTTCTCCCAAGGGAGAGAGAAGGCTGCAAAGAGGCATGTGCTAAAGCAGGAGGGAGAGAGAGAGAAGAGAGGCGAGTGTTCGAGTAGCTTCAAGGACCTCATGACAATTGACACATGGGGTTTAGTCCCTTCTAGCACCAGTTTTCTACCGTTTTCTACTTGCTACACAGACTTCCAACAGAAACTCCGTTTGCTGGCCCACCCACGTCCCACGTACGTCTTTTCCCCCCCCGACTTCCACCCCCAGAGCGGGAAGGAAACCGGTCACGTGGGCAGCCTGCGTGGCACAACTGCAAGCTTCCTGGGGCCAGCGTCATAGCAAACTGCATTCAGCAAGCTGCGGTCTGCTGGCAAATTCTGAAATTCCGTTTCAGATTCCTCCTTCCTCTCAGTTGCTCCTTCTGCCTCCCTTTCTGAGGTTCTAGCTGGGGGAGGGGGAGGAGGGGAGACTTATTTCTTAACTGTTCCAGCAGCTATAACTCAAGTAGGTTTTTGTGCATTAAGAATCCCCTTTCGTGCCTCCGAAATAGGTGTTGTTAAAGTGCGGTAGGCTCTAAATATGTTTCTGCGGTTTCTACGTCCCACCAGTCACAGTGACTGGTGACGTGGTGGTTGAAAAACAGAAGGGGGCTTTGCGCTCTCTGCCGAATCTGAGGCGGAATTTTTATGATTTGTGTTTACTTATGTATTTATTAAATTTATATAGTGCCTGTTCTCCAAAGGAGCTATAGAAACAGCCACAAATATGTAGCATCCAAACGCCATCACTTAGCGTTATAACAATAAAATATAGAGGTCCGGGGGAAAGGTAGGCAGCCCCAACAAAGGCATGAAAATGGCAGGGAGCTCTAAACCAGTGTGAAAAGTGCAGGAAATGGAGAAACCAAAGAACTTATACGTACGACCCATGGACATGAACTAAGGGGGGGAATGCTGGTGGGAGGGGGTGCAGGGCAGAGGGGAATAAAGGGGAGAAAACCATGGGACAACTGTAATAGCATAATCAATGAAATATATTTAAAAAATAAAACAATGTGAATTCTTATGTAATAGACAAGCTACACAAGTTTGGCTCACTTAGTTTTTCTCAGGTGACACATGCCTTTTGAGAGGGGGGCAGAATCTTTTCTCCTAAAAGATACTGTGGTTAGCAAGCCTACCTTTAAAGTTCATCTCCCCTACCATTCCAGGGATTTTGTTCCCAAGATGCTGTGCTTTCTGCTAATGGAATTGCTAACATCTTTAAAGCCCAACCAGATCGTATCAGAAGGAGGGGAAAAAAAGGAATTCAGTTTATCCTTATTGGGTGTTAATGACCCTGTAAGATGTAATTTCTTTTATTTTATTCTGTTACCTAGAAAATCTATCACAGCCTTGTAGTATTGATTGCTCAATCTATAAAGAGCTTGGTTTACAGCATGACTGTTAGTAACAGGGTTATTTTAATGAGCGACTCTTCAACACCTCAGATGTTCGCTCCATTCCAACCCATCAGCCTAACAGTCTAACACGAGTGTCTTCGGCGATGAGCGTTTATCTCCCTTGCCGATCGGGAGAAGGCAACGTCCAGGTAACCAAAAGTAAAGCTCATTCTCTGGTGTTTCTATGAAAACTGCTAGCCGTGTGCTTGGGTCGGCCACGTCCAATAAAAAGCAGAGCTCGAGACACATACCATCCTTAGATACGTAAAATCTCTGACCAAGAAAGGCCTTGAAACAGTCTCATTTTACTCTGAAAAGTGTGGGCGAGCTCAGCCAAGGAAGAGCCGATGTTCTGTCGTTCCCGCAGGGTGGAGAAATGTCGCTGATGAGCCTTCCATCCCGGAGGCATTCTTCCCGCTGTGGTGCCCGCCAGGGAGTAAACGGCTACACATAGAAACGGAAACCACAGGGGCGTTTGCAGCTCTTATTTTCTTGAAACTTATTTCCCAGGACCAAACAGGAGTTGATTTTCAGCCAGCTACAATGTTGGCCCAGTAAACAGGGCACAGGAGATGAGAATCTGGGTCTCTGAGTGTTCCCGCTTGAAGATAAGACTTATAACATGAAAGAACATAATAACCTCACAAAGCAAGATTAAAGGGCTATGAAAACAAGCAAATGGTATTATTGGTCAGTTGCTCTTCTGTTCTGCCATCATAGTCAATAAGCTTGGCAAATCTTTTCACGCATTTCCTTCTTTTTTTTTTAAACAATGCCCTAGCATCTTGCTTCATTTTTCTTTCTCTTTTTTAATTTATTGATTTTTAGAGAGGGCGAGAGAAACTTCGATTCATTGTTCCACTTAGTTATGCATTCATTGGTTGATTCTTGTATGTGCCCTGACCAGGGATCAAACCTGGAGATATTGGGACAATGCTCTAACCAACTGAGCTACCCAGCCGGGGCCATTTCCTTCTGAATTAGTTAGTTACATGGAATGACACTCACACTGCTTCAATGGACCTAACATGGTGACGTTGCCAAGTTCCTTCCCTCAGGCCACTGCTCTGGTCTCCTTTGTTCAAGTCTTAGCAACCCAGGCTCTCGGAGGGACTGGCCTCACCTGTCTTCCCACTCTGTCTCTCTTTTCTGTAATCTTTAAGTAGTTAAGACCCGATGCCAGGCCTCGTTGGCACAATCCTTTCGCTCATCACCTGCTGACCTGCCTTCAGCCTCTTTTTCTTGGTCACAGCTTGAATTCTGGAACTTCCCAGTGACCCCCAAACAAAAGCCCAAGGCCACACTTGAACTCTGGAAGGAACATGGTCAGGTTCTGTTGTCCCTAAGGAAGGCTTGAGGCAGAAGGGCATCCTGGCCCTTTTGCCCTAGGACACTCTGCATCCTAGAGGATCATTTGCATATACTAACTCTGTCAACAGCAGCACCAGCTTGGCCTCAGTCACAGGAGAACTTACTACCACTGGTTACAAAGGACGTGGTGTGCAATGACAAATGCTTTGAAGGAAACACCTACAAAAGAGAGAGAAACAATATTTTTTTAACTTGGTCTGTTGCAATTTTTTCTACGACATTTTGTGTGGTTGGAGCTTAGGTTCTCTTACATGAGATAAACAGGGTAACACGCTGCCCCCCCCCACTTTTTTCTCTAGTAAAAGTCCTTCTGAGCTCTGCTAGCAATTTAAACGCCATGATCGTATCCATTAGCTTTCTCTATCATTGTAATTGTTGTTAATTATTATAACTGTTTTAGTTATTAGTGGTGTCATTATTGCTCTAGGTCCTCTGTCTGTTTTATGCTGAATATATTAGCGCTTTGCTTTTGAATTACCAGGCTTTATTTAGTGCAGAGTTCGTTTTTTTGGAGAGACGTTGAGAAATACTGGCATTAAGCTTTATTCTTTTGTTTTTCCTTCCAAATGGACAGACTGGAAAAAAAATAATTAGATGGAATAATGTCTTCAAAATGAGAATGAGGATGTTTCGAATTAATTAAATGGTCAGAACGCCGCGCCGTTTGCCGATCTCAGACGGCTGCCGGAGTGGCGCAAACCCAAAGGAGCCCCCGTCCGGCCCCCGCAGTGGCTCCCTCTCTCGGGGTCCCCCCTCCTCACTGACCTAAAGACACCGAAGTGCCCTCACGCGTCCCCTCGTTGTGGGCTATGCTGAGCGAGTTTAGGGAGAAGCTCGCTGACCCTGCGGACTCCCGCCTTCAAGCTCTTCCTGGGGCCAAGCTTCAGCAACAAGAGCCTTTACCTCTTCCCCTCTGCAAGATCTGTAGATAACACGCACTCTCCGTCAGGTTTTTACTCCATAGCTAAAGCCTCGGAACTAGGTTAGATTCCCCGTCACCCACAGGACCCTCAACTTCTCCTTCGCAGACATGACATAGTGCAGTCACAAATAAGGGGGCGTTCGTGTGACTGCCCCACGGTGCCTCCCCCGCCGGATGGTAGCCCTGAGGGCAGGGACCACGTGTGGCCGGTGCAGAAAGCCCAGCCTCTAGCGGAGTCCCTAGCACTAGGGAAATGTTTGGTGAATGCTGAGGAGTGAATGCAGCGAAGTTGTGTTCACACTTACACGTGAGTGCAAACCACGCGCACTGAGAGTATGAGAGTACATGTGGGTTTTTTTTAAAGAATCATATAATTGATTTTTTAAAAATTTTTTAAGATTTTATTTATTTATTTTTAGAGAGGGAAGGGAGGGAGAGAGAGAGAGAGAGAGAAACATCAATGTGCGGTTGCTGGGGCTCATGGCCTGCAGCCCAGGCATGTGCCCGGACTGGGAATCGAACCTGCGACACTTTGGTTCACAGCCTGCGCTCAATCCACTGAGCTACGCCAGCCAGGGCAGTACATGTGGTTTTAAGCTGAGAGTTTAAAATACGGAATCCAGCCTTGTCCAGTTAAGGAGTTTCTCCTCCCTGATTTTCTTAATACCAGAATATTTCTACCCAAACAGCAAGTTCAACCTTTTGCCCATTGTAGCCCTTCATTCTGTTTATTTTTTTAGACCTTTTTTTTTTGTTATGGTTCTGACAATTCCAGTTCTTGGGCTAGGCTCACCTGTCTCCCAGATTCCTGAGTTCTGTCTTAGTTTGGCCTTCAGCTGATAGAGAACTGAAGGCATTTCTTTCTTTCTTTTTTTAATCACACCAAAAAGTATCTTTCTTTTTTAAATTATATATTTTTTTTTAGTTTTTTTTTCCATTACCATTTAGTCCCCTTATACCTCCCTCCCCCTGCCACAATCACCATGCTATTGTCCATGTCCACGAGTCCTTTTTCCTTTTGGCTCAGTACCCCTGCCCTCTAACCTCCCCACCCCTCACCAGCTGTCACCTGCTCTCTGTCTGTGAGCTGATCTCTATTCTGCGCGTTCACTAGGTCCCACATATGAGTGACATCGTATGGTATTTGTCTTCCTCTGGCTGGCTTATTTCACTTCGCATAGGGTTCTCCAGGTCCATCCATGCCATTGTACATGGTAACATTTTCCTCTTTTTCACAGCCGAGTAGTATTCCATTTTCTATCTTTATTTTTTCTTAAAAGGTCTTCCTTTTCCTCCTATCTTCTTGCTTTCTCTGTGATCTATTGTGCTTCTACAATCGATCTTTGTGTGGGTGTTCTCCCCAGTTGCCTTATATCCTTAATATCGAATCATTTTCTTACATGTATAGCCAAAAGGTACTCACAGTCTTAGGCGCTGTCCCACACGCAGGCCTGTGGGAAGCAGTGCTCCGCAGTGACCATCTGCTAGGCCATAAAAAGACAAGATAATGTTGTCAGTCCTACCATTTAGATATATCAAGTTATGTTTTATTTTTTTAAAGTGGTAGCCAGTTGCTCTCAGCCTTTTTTTAAAGATTTTATTTATTTATTTTTAGAGAGGGAAGAGAGGGAGATAGAGAGAGAGAAACATCAATGTGCAGTTGCTGGGGGTCATGGCCTGCAACCCAGGCATGTACCCTGACTGGGAATTGAACTTGCGACACTTTAGTTCCCAGCCCGCGCCCAATCCACTGAGCTACGCCAGCCAGGGCTCAAGTTATGTTTTAAATATCTATTTTTATAAAATTATTTTCTCTACCATGTTACATTGATGCTACTATACTTTTCATCCCTAAACTTAGTCAAACTCTTGGGTGATTAATCAACTCTATTACAACTGAAATGTATTAATGTATCTTCTGGGAAAACTACTTTTACTTTTCAGGGACTGGTATTTCTCTATTATTTCATGCATTGACATCCAAGAAGTAGATGCCTTGCCCTTTCAACAGGTAGCATTTTTATCCCAAAGTGTTGTTCCTTCCAAAAATACTCTTAACCTCTGTGGCAGAACGTTTCCAGCGTAGCTGTCTCGTTTGCTGCCCTCTGTTGCCCGCTGCACGTACAAACCACTCTCTGTGCCGAGAAAACACACCCGAGTTTCTGCACGGTTAACGTGTCTACTTCTGTTGGCAATAGCTGAGTCTTAGCTAAATGGCTCCGTCCTTCCTCTGTTTCTGTGCACTTTAAGGTTCCTACTAAAGTTCTTTTCCAGAGACATATATAAGGATTTTGTTTCCCCTGTGCCTTTATTATTTAAATTGCTCATAAGTTAGTAACAAGCAGGGGAAAAAAAGGAAGTATAGCCAGGGCCTGTGTCCCCTGAATGCCCACTTGCCCCTGATCGATTCCCATCCTCAGCAACTAGCACCATCACTCCTCATGGGAGGGGCAAGACAAATGAAGGGAAGGGTGGGAACTAGTAAAACTCGGGTCCCCCAAATCCCTTAGGTTTTCATGAGAACTCAGGACTCTCGACTCCCAACGACAGGTGCTTTGCTCGCAGCTCCCACGCACAGCATCCTCAGGCAGGAGGAGCACTGCGGCATTACCCCGCTCCAGTGGGCATTAGCTCTCCTGCCATTCAAATCCCCAGATCCTCTCCCACTTTGTACTCTAGTGTTTAACCTTTCCGGGTAGGAGAAGATCAATACGAATTCTTCATTGTTAAGAATCGATGGCTGTCCTGTGGCATCACTGCCATCTAGTCTCGCTGAGAAGCTCAGTAAATCTCTCCCGCTGCTTCTAAAGCTTGGTTTGTCGTCTTGAGTTGCTTTCATTTTTAATGCAGATCACTTTGGTTTCTGCTCCCCTGGGGGCTTGCAGATAAATCTTGGCAGACATGTGCAGGGTCTACAAATGAGATGCTGGAAAAGGGCCAGCCCACCCAGAATTCAGTTGTAATGGATGAGACACCCCCTTGGTTCCACTTAAAGACCGGGCCATTTGTTTCCATATTTATTGGTGATTACCTCACATGGTACCTGGGTGGGAAGGGCCCAGGAAGAAGCTCCTCCGCAACAGAGGAGGCCGGCTGGCAAGACTGACGGAGACACACGCTGGCAGACGGACGTGGCCTCGCTTGCAAATAGGAAGTCAGAGACTTACCCCACTCCTTCAAATGCGTAATGAAGGGGAGCACACCAATGGTTTCGACGCCCCGGATCAAGAAAAGTCTAGCAGGAAATTACTTTGTGCTGCTTACTTACCACCCAAGTGAAAAATCACCTGCCTGATTTTCTTTTGTTAATAAGTGAATATGTTTATCATATTATTGAATAGCATCCGACTAAGGGTGGTCTGTAAATATTTAATGTTAGTTAATGATCTCCTTCTCCCACAGTCCTTTGCTCACGCTGAGGGTCTAGCTGTATCTCATCCCGGCCCCCATGGATCTTAGGTTTCCTAGGGGCGATATCAGAACACTGGCTTCCATTGGAAGCACAAATGTGGGCTCTGTAGAAAAAGACAGTCTTTTTAACTTTGATTTCTCCTGTCTTTGACCAGTGGACTATGCCAGTTACTACCAGGGCCTATGGGATTGCTACGGCGAGCAGCCAGATGAACTGTCCTTCCAGCGGGGCGACCTCATCCGCATCCTGAGCAAGGTAAGGACTCAGAGTGTGGGGCATGGGTCACAAGTCTGCTTCTTCGCTCTGGATGGTGTAGTCGCCGTAACCAGCATGGCCCCGTGTCGTGCTCTCCTCCTGTGTGTAGTATTCGGCTGCTTCACATATCAATTCCCATTGACTTATAATTCTTAAGGAAAAATTTCAATTGAAAATCCAGATCCAGGAACCAATTTTCAAATTAAAAAAAATACAATTAGGTACACATAATACTAGAATGATACCAATCAAAATTTGATTTTTTTAGGGTCTTGTGATGCTTAAAAGATCATCACCATAAGCATCATTTATTACCATATATTACTCTTGAAAACATTCTGGCTAGGTCAGCGGCTTTCTTATTTCATTTATCGATACACAGAACTGAAGATAACCATGTATGGGAGTCAGAGCTAGCTGGCTCAGTTGCTCTGAGCAAGTGCTGATAAGGCCAAGACAGTGAATCGAACCCCGAAAGGACCAGCCAACTTTATTTTCTCCCTCCGTCACAAAGTGAACCCCTAGCCCCGGGTAATCACCTCACAAACAGTGTTTCTGATCATAAAAGAATTGGGGTGGGGAGGATAGATTATTATAGATCCATCACCAGTGTGAAGAAGATTCAGAATGTACTGACTACTAAGGAATCAGCAGCATCATTGTATTGAAAGACTGCATGTATTCTGTGTTAGGTGGACTAAGGAAGTAGGTCCTCCCTGAAAAAATGTTTTAAAAAGTTCTCTCTCCATGAGGCCAATCAAGATCTACAAACACAATTTTTTTCTCATGACATTAAATATTATTTTGTTTTAACCTTTTTATTGTATTTTCCCATTATCATTTAGTTCCCTTATACTCCCCCCCATAATCACCACACTGTTGTCCATGTCCATGAGTCCTTTTACCTTTTTTGCTCCATCCCTCCACCCCCTCCCCTCCCCACCCCTGAGCTGTCATCCTGCTCTGTATCTATGAGTCTGACTCTATTTTGCTTGTTAGTTTAGTTCATTAGAATCCACATATGAGTGAAATCACATGGTGTTTGTCTTTCTCTGACTGGCTTATTTCACTTAACATAATGTTCTGCAGGTCCATCCAAACTGTCACAAAGAGTAAAATTGTCTTTTTTACAACTGAGTAGTATTCCACTGTGTAAATGCCCCATAGTTGTTTTATCCACTCATCTACGGATGGACACTTAGGCTGCTTCCGTATCTTAGCAATTGTAAATAACGCTGCAGTGAACATAGGGGTGCTTATTTCTTTTGAATTAGTGTTTTGTGTTCCTTTGGATATATCCCCACAAGTGAGACCACTGGGTCAAAGAAGATTCAATTTTAAATTTTTGAAGTATCTCCATACTGCTTTCTATAGTGGCTGCACCAGTCTGCGGTCCCACCAACAGTGCAAAAGGGTTCCTTCCCCTTTTTCCACATCCTCGCCAGCACTTGTTTGTTGATTTATTGATGAGAACCATTCTGACAGGTGTGAGATGGTATTTAATTGTGGTTTTTATTCGAATTTCTCTGATGATTAGTGATGTTGAGCATCTTTCATGTGTCTGTTGGCCATCTGCGTGTCCTCTTTGGAGAAGTGTCTGTTCAGCTCCTTCTCCCATTTTTTAACTGGGTTATGTTTTTTTTTTTGGGGGGGGGGGGCTGGGTGTTGAGTTTTGTAAGTTCTTTATAAATTTCAGATATTAATCCCTTTTCAGACGTATTGGCGAATATGTCCTCCCATTCTGTGGGTTGTCTTTTTATTTTGTTGATGTTTTCCTTTGCTGTGAAAAAACTTTCTAGTTTGATGTAGTACATTTGTACAAACACATTTTTGAACTAGGCACAATCTGCTCTCTAAATGATGAGTATGTGGATCCCATAAAGGAATCTTGAAAACCCACTGTGTCATTAGCCCGTCACTGGCAGTTTATGTGTTTTCTGTGAATGCAACCACCTTGTCTAAGGTTTGTCCCAGTTTGAAATACACTGTAAGCTCTTAGGAAACAGACGAGGGTCGGCCCAAGGTACCGTTCAGTGGTTCTAACGAGTTCCCTCCGAACCAGGACCAAAGTCAGACCTCACGCTTTTCAAGGGACTCGGAGGCCTGCAAGAACCCTCCCGAGGGAGATCACAGTCTTCTAGTCATTTCTTCCCAAGTCCTAAGTCGGCACCCCCCTCGTGCCATTCCCGTGCAGCCCTAACACCAAAAATAAATTGGAAGCAAAGAAGGGAGTGGACATTGGCCTGATTGGTATTTCAAATGCCCGAAAGCAAGGTTTGCCGTGTAATAGAATTTGTGTACATTACCACGCTGGCATTATAGGGGTAATCGAGTTATCCACTCAGGTGTGACCAGGCCTCTGTTTGCCCAGAGCCTGCAGGTGAACAAATTAGCTGTTTACATTGTCTGAGGTGCCTGCAGCAGGAGGTGGGGAGAACAGAGCCAGACTGTCTGCTGGCCTTCTCTCTGGGTCATGATTATTTTGTTTGTTTTGCATGTCTTTTGCCTTTGTTAATGGCTTCTCACTGGGGGTCCCTTTCCTCCATTTAGAAGGGGCCGTGTGGTGACTTGCCCAGCCGTAAGGAGCTGTGCGTAGTTGCCATGGCTGTTGTATTTTTAAGAGATAACGAAGAACATGGGGAGCTCCCAGGCCTGTTTATTTTTTAACCAACCCCCTTCCCTTCCTCCATCACTCAAAACTAATATATCAGAATTTAATTCAGTGAGAATGCCTTGCTTCCCTGGTTCTCTCAGGCTGCTCTCTCCATCTCCGGAAGGTCATGAGTCCATTTCATCCCTCACCACTGTAATAGCACATTTCTTCCCCCCAAAGCCACCCCAGCTGCCTCCCTTCTCCGTGCTGCTAACTCCTGCAACTGCAGAAGAGGAAATGAGAAACTAGGAGCTCAACTGAAGTTTCCCTCATAAAGCTCCATTCCTGTTAACATCAGCTTGGGGAGCCTTTCTGATTGGATTTACCTTTATTACATTACCTAACTCAATAAAAGTCCTCGGACAGGAAGGAACCTTAAAAGGCCACCCAATCCATTCCCTCGCCTCCAAGAAACCCAAATTAACCAGTTCGGACAGGCAGAAAAAGAGATTCCACCACCCCTCTCAGCTATCTTTCCATTCGTATGTCCGGTAATACCTAATCCCAGGAATTTTCCCCCGTACGGCTCCCAAACGCATTCCACTGTAGCCCCAGCTGGCTTTCCCCCTGTTGGAGTCCGTTACACTCTGCAGCCTGCCCCTCACATCTGGAGGGACAAAACTGACCCAAGCTGAGGTTAGTCCAGAAAAAGAGTTCTAGAATTCTCCATCTTGCTTTTCTCTCTGGCCAGTAGAACCTGTGTCAGGCAAGAAAGGCCTGCTGTGTAGGAAGGAACCTGAGGGAGTCTCTCTCCCTGAGGAAGGCAAGGCGAGACTGGCCAGGGTGCACACAGCTCAGCTTACCTGGACCAGTTCGTTTCCTCACTGATACCAGGAGGGAGCCGCGTTGGATGACTTCTAAGGCTCCTTCCACCTCAGACATCGCCTGACCCTGCAGAACCGCCAAAGAAATTCCACCCAACAATGTGCCTTAGCTTTTAGTGTTTAGTCAGAGTAAATGAACAAAAAATTCCAATTGTAGGCTTTTTACATTTTTTGGCCCTCATTAATGTGTCTGCCCCCTCCCTGCCGCCTCTCATTGTGTGATAAAAGAAATATTTCAAAGGTGGTGGGTGGATAATGGCCCCAGGATGGGGAATTGGGGTGGGAGTGTGGGGTGGGGGGGGGCGGTAACAGCTTTATTCTTGGGGTCATGCTGCCCCCTGCTGTTTTTCAGTAGTTGCCCAAGAACGACCCGATCTTGAATCTGTTAGGGCCTAGGAAGGCTCCCAGAGAGTTGTTTACCCTTTAAAAAAAATTCCAGAGCGGGTGAGTGGCAGGGCAAGAAAGATGCACCCCGCAGATAACCAAATGCCCCCCACCTGTCCCACTCTTAGGGGAGCAAGCCTGTAACACATGGGCTACTTGTGTGACCCTGAGCGAAGTCACTTAATCTCGCTAACCCTCAGTCTCCTCATCTATACAAACCGGGCTAACGTCTACTCGCAGGGCGTTGTGGTGCTTACATTAGGAACTCTGTATAAGGTGCCTGTCACCTAGGAGATGGCAACCATCGGCCCCCTTTTTCCATGGATGGTAAACTTTTGGGGTCAATACTGGGTACATACTAGCAATTCAATAAATCACTGGTGGGTTGAGAGAGAGAAAAAGGTAGCCTGTCCTGCCGAGACCTCTTCATGGAGACGCTCAAAAGCACAAAAGTTTCTCACTCAGAAGTGGAAGCGAAGAGGCCTGCATGGAAGCCCACCGTGCCTTTCCTGGTCTGGGACTTCATCACTGACAAACCAAATCGGTCACTCAACGTTCTCTGTGGAGAGGCCAGAGCCCTGTGTCCAGGCTCTGAAACCGAGACCGACGGCGCAGTCAGCAGGGCGCCCGCGGACCCACCCCTGCCCCGTCCGTGCATCCCTCAGCCCCAGGCCATTCATGCCCACTCAGTTCTCTGAGCTCCAGGCGGGGTCTTCGGATAGACTAAAGGGAGATTTTAATAACGCAGAAGATCCGTGGGCCCAGCGGATGGGGATGTCCCCACGTTCCTTGCAGGCCCAGAGAGTCTGAGCCGCTCTTTCTGAGGCAGGGACTGAGCACGGTTGCCACCCGGTTCAGGGACACAGCTCAGGCCGCAGCGGGGTGTCGAGCGCCGCTCAGTGCCTCCAGATTGTGGCGCTTATGCAAGTCCCCTCATACGTAACCGATGGCTCCTGAGAGCCTGCCTCTCGTAAATTACTTCCCACGATGCCTGCGACCATGGCAGAATTCGAGTTTGAATAGAGCAGGGAAAAGGTGTTTGAAAGGCCTGTTCACTCAGCTGCATTTTAATTTCCTTTTCAATCTTGTCCCAATTAATTTCACAGAATTAATCTCACAGAAGCAACTCGGCAGCGTTG